CATCATTTTTGTAGAGAATCTAAGGGGACATTTGTGGACCTATTCATCCTCCCTGTGGACCATTTCGATACTTTATAGTCTTGGTGGATGCATCTACCCGATGGTCACATGTTTGCCTTTTGTCCACTCGGAATATGGCATTTGCTAGGCTCTTGGCTCAGATAATTAAATTGTGAGCCCAATTCCCAGATTATCCCATTAAGTCTATTAGACTCGATAATGCTGGTGAATTTACATCTCAAACTTTTGATGATTACTGCATGTTGCTAGGCATTGACATTGAACATCATGTTCCCCATGTTCATACTCAAAATGGCTTGGCAGAAGCTTTGATTAAGCGTCATCAATTAATAGCACGCACATTGCTAATGAAAACAAAGTTGCCAGTTTCTGCTTGGGGATATGCCATTTTAAATGCAGCATCTCTGGTGCGGTTGAGGCCCGTCACCAACATTCAATATTCTCCAATACAACTTGTGTTGGGTAATCAACCAAATATTTCACATTTAAGAGTTTTTGGTTGTGCGGTATATGTGCCTATTGCACCACCGTAACGTACTAAGATGGGCCCTCAACGCAGATTGGGAATATATGTTGGCTTTGATTCACCATCTATCATCAGATATCTGGAACCCCTAACGGGTGATATCTTTAGGGCACGATTTGCGGATTGTCATTTTGATGAGATAATTTTCCCACTATTAGGGGGAGAAAAATCTGTTCCTAAAGAACAAGGCAAACTCGTTCCTGAAGAACGACGTGAATTATCGTGGGATGTACCCACTTTGTCTCATCTCGATCCTCGTACCGCTCAATGCGAAAACGAAGTGAGAAGGATCGTTCACATCCAAAGTATTGCAAATCAGATGCCAGATGCATTCAATGATGCAACAAATGTGACGAAATCACATATCCCAGCTGCAAATGCACCTGCAAGGATTGATATTCACAATGGACAAAGCAATGCGCCAGCAAATGGCTCATCTGTTGCACACCTGAAGCATGGCAGACCACTAGGCTCAAAGGACTCAGTTCCTCGAAAGAGGAAGTTGATGGCCAAAATGAATCCAAATGAAATAAATGGAGAGCCCACAATTCATGGTTCAAATCCCTCTCAAGAGGGACAGGTACTTCCTGAAAAGGAAAATGTCCTTGATGAGACACGTGCTCCTGAAATGGCAGCTGTACCTGAAAGTCAAGAAATCTCCATAAATTATACATCTACTAATGAAACAGAGATGAGATAATCATCGATAATATATTTGCATTCTTAGTGGCTACTGAGATCATAAAAGATGATGATATTGAGCCTTGCTCCATTGATGAATGCACACAGAGACAGGATTGGCCTAAGTGGAAAGATGCAATCCAGGCAGAATTAGACTCTTTGGAAAAAAAATGAGTGTTTTTGGACCCATTGTTCCAACTCCACCCAATGTAAACCCTGTAGGTTACAAGTGGGTATTTACAAGAAAGCGCAATGAGAAAAATGAGATCGCGAGGTATAAAGCACAACTTGTTGCACAAGGTTTTTCATAAAGGCCTGGAATTGATTATGTGGAAACATACTCTCCAGTAATGGACGCAATTACGTTCCATTACTTGATAAGCTTAGCGGTTTCAGAAAAACTTGAAATGAGACTTATGGATGTCATTACCGCATACCTGTATGGAGAGTTGGATACAGACATATACATGAAAGTCCCAGAAGGACTTAAGCTGCCTGAAGCAGCCAGGAATAAACCACGGGCCATGTTCTCAATCAAATTGAGAAGATCATTATATGGGTTAAAACAATCTGGGCGAAAGTGGTATAATCGTCTCAGCAAATATTTACTAAAGGAAGGATATACAAATGATCCTATTTGCCCATGTGTGTTTATTAAGAAATCAGAGTCTGGATTTGCGATAGTGGCAGTATATGTCGATAACATGAATCTAATTGAAACTCCTGAAGAACTCAAACGACAACTGATTATCTCAAACGCGAGTTTGAGATGAAAAACCTTGGAAAGACAAAATATTGTCTTGGCTTACAGATTGAGCACAGTACTGATGGAATTTTGGTGCATCAATCAAATTATATTGAAAAAGTATTAAAGCGGTTTGGCATGGATAAAGCCCATCCACTTAGCACTCCAATGGTCGTTCGGTCGCTTGACACTAAGAAAGATCCATATCATCCAAAAGGGGATGATGAAATGGTCCTTGGTCCAGAAGTACCATATCTTAGTGCAATAGGTGCTTTAATGTACTTAGCACAATTTACCAGACCTGACATAGCATTTTCAGTAAATTTGTTAGCAAGATACAGCTCTGCTCCAACAAGCTGACATTGGACCGGCGTTAAACATATTCTACGATGTCTTCGTGGAACGACAGACATGGGCTTATTCTATTCCAGTGAATTGACCAATGCCCCAAGTATTGTTGGGTATGCTGGTGCAGGATATCTCTCTGATCCACATCAAGGACGCTCACAAACTGGGTATGTGTTTACATGTGGAGGAACTGCAATCTCATGGCGCTCAACAAA